ATCAGACCAAGCCAAATCAAATTAGACCAGACCATAAAATTTCAATCGAACAAAAAAAATAAAAAATCCTTAATCTGGTGTGCTATGAAATGTCATTATATATACTTGTTTATATTATAATCTGTATATAATTTATTGGTATTCATTTATTATTAGAAATAATAAAATCCCTCCAAAATTATGGTACAATATATCCTCTCGAATTATCATACATTTTTAAAAAGAATGTAATATGAAGATATTCAATTCAAAACTGCATTAAAAGTTTCATAGAGTTAATAAAGGAAAACCTAATTTTAATAAAAGTTTGATATAAAAAGTAAAAGATTATAAAGCAGTTTACATTGACCAGAGAGCATTGTCCTATTCTCTGGTCATTGTAAAGTGCTTTATAATCTTTTACTTTATACAGAGTATATCCAACTTTTATTAAAATTAAATTTTCTATTGTTAAATTTATAAAAAAATTAATGTAATTTTTGAATCTTAATATATTCATATTATCTTCATCTTATCTTCTATTTATAATTAGTTTTAAGAATTATTATGAGAAGTAATAAAGTTCCTTCAGAAATATTGTACATTATAGTATATTATCTCGAGGGAAAAAAATTATTGTATACTTATAACATTTATAATATACTCCCTCCGCCCCAAAAAATTGTTCCCGCATTGACTTGGAACGGAGTTTAAGAAATTGGGAATAAAGTGGAAATATATGATTGTGGTTGAGTAAGAAAAAGGTAAATGAATTGTGGCCACAAAAAACTTTCCAAAAGGGGAAAGTGGAACAAATTTTTGGGACGGTCCAAAAAGGAAACCCGGGAACAATTTTTTTGGACGGAGGGAGTACTGATTAAAAATGTATGTTAAGTCGAGAAGATATACTAGACAATGATTTGGGAGGATTTTTCTAGATTTGATAATAAATGAATAGAAATAAACTATATACAAATTATAATATATAAATAATACATAATGACATTTCATAGCAGACCAGATTAAGGATTTTTTTATTTGGAATGAAATTTTATGGTTTGGTCTACTCTGATTTGGTATGATCTAAACTGATCATGTCTTGTCTCGTTCGGTAAATGTCTAGTTTATGAGTAATTTGTAATTTTTTAGGTCTGATCTATTTATATCTAGTCAGGTTTGGTCAAATCAAACCGACAAACCTGGTCCAGGACTGAAATACGTCTAAGTAAAACCTTCTAAAACATATTAGATTAGACAAAAATTGATCAGACGAAATTACACCAGATAAAAGAATTAGTTCAATTAAAAATATCTACAATTCCACATTTAATTAGTTAATTTGTCACATGTTTAATAATTTAAGACATTTGCTCACACAAAAATACATGGGTGTGACATGGCTGTTTAATTATTTAAGCCATTTACTCACATTTTTTTCCTTCAAAAAAAATCTGGGGTCTATGGTCAAAACATGACAAATTCACAATTGCTCAAAGCATGCTCTTAAACTCTCAGACGTCTCAGTATTGTCACCGTTAATGAGTTGCCGTTAAAGAAGGGGAGAAATGCTCTCTTTCAAGGGAACAGGGAGATTTTTGCTCCAAAATTAAGTTTGAGGGCTTCGATGCCCTTTAGTAACAACTCTAGTGGTGTTTTTGCCCCTTTTCCCCAAATTTTAATGAGATGTATGTACCAAAAAATGTACTCCCTCCCAATTCTTTTCTATTCACCTGATCAATATAAATCATTCTTAATTTGAAATTTTATATATCAAAATTTTGTGAAATTTGAACTATTATTTTTAAGTTTTGTAACGGTTTTAATGTAGTTTCTGAATATGTAACTTTTATTTTTTAAAACTAATTTGAGTGTTGACAGAGATCAATTTGCTTTATCGTCGGTCAAACATTGTAACCGGTAAAGTATCTTACAAATTGGGACGGAGGGAGTATGTTTATTTGTAAAGCGTTTAGCTCTTTGTCTAAAATTTTCAAATACCAATCTCTCTAAAATAAATTTCTAATTTTATTAATGGAAATTCTCAAATTTAATGTTCTTCATCTCAAATCGATTCCAAAGTGATGATGTAAGATGGAATGTGATAGCTCCAGAGTTTCATATATTGTGACAAATTAATGAACATCTTAAAAATATGTTCTGTTAAAAATTACTCGCTCAGTCTCCACATCATTGCCATGTTTTACATTTTCATCTGTCTCACTAAGTTTATATACCATGTTTGGTAACATTTGGATAATTGTTGCATTTCATTCTTACTTTATTCACACTTTATCACTAATTCTAATCTCATAGTTCCAAATTTCTTAATAACCTAATGTCTCTCTAGTTTGTCTCAATCTTAGGACAGTGATAATATAATTTGACCGCGTCTTTAACTCGGAAAGGAGATACTTATAATGATACAAAACTTAGAATGTTTTCTTTTGGGCTATTTTCAGTCTCAAACGCGACCAGATCAGACCAGACTTCTGTAGCTATAAAATATACAGAGACCAGACGTTTCCCAGACAAAATCAGACCAGACCAGCAAATTTCAGTCCAAAACATCTTTACTAGCATAGTAGATGAGTGATGATGTGTGATTAACTTTTGCATACCCATGAAAACTATTCACTATTTTACGGATGTTGTCGAGTCCACACTACCAATTTATGAGTTTATATATATGAGTGTTTTCCATCCGTTCTAAATGAATTAAGAGTGTTAAAGAGTAAGAAGTTGTTCTGTTCGTCTTAATCTTATTATTTATTGCTTATTCTTATTTTATTCAGATCAGATCAGATCAGAAAAATTCAGATCAGATCAGATCAGATCAGAAAGATTCAGATCAGATCAGAATCATTCAGATCAGATCAGAAAGATTCAGATTAGATCAGAAACATTCAGATCAGATCAGAAACATTCAGATCAGGAACATTCAGATCAGATCAGGAACATTCAGATCAGATCAGAAAAGTTCAGACATGATTTATCCTTTTTATTATAATAATAATTATAATAATATTTATAATAATTATAATAATTATAATAATTATAATTATTATTCTTGTTGTTGTTGTAATTATTATAATTATTATTATTATTATTATTATTATTATTATTATTACTATGATTACTATGATTATTATTATTATTATTATGATATTTATTATTATCATGATTATTATTATTCTTACTACTAATATGGTTGTTGTTGTTATTGTTATTAGTTTTGTTTTCGTTATTATCATATTATACGGAGTAATTACAATTACAATTATAGAATTAAATATTATAATTATAATTAAAATTATAATTATAGAAATATATATAACTATAATTATAATTACAATTATAATTATAGCTATATTTATAACTAGTGTAATACGTATAATAATAATTATATACCTATTATAATTATGTTTGTAATTATAATTAAAAATTTTATAATTATGATTATAATTATAATTATATTTAAATTATATATGTGTAATTATAATTTATAATTACATTTATAATTATATTCAAATTATAATTACATTTATAATTATAGTAATTATAATTTTAGAAATATTCAAATCAGATCAGATCAGAAAGATTCAGATTAGATCAGAAGGATTCAGATCAGATCAGAAACATTCAGATCAGATCAGGAACATTCAGATCAGATCAGGAACATTCAGATCAGATCAGGAACATTCAGATCAGATCAGGAACATTCAGATCAGATCAGAAAGATTCAGATCAGATCAGATCAGAAAAATTCAGATCAGATCAAAACAGAACTTAAAAAATTCAGATCAGAAACATTCAGATCAGGTGAAGAGAACAGCTTCTAAGACTCTTCTTACGATAAAAGTGACGGTCTAGCCAAACCCATGAATTAAGTTCCATAAAATTTACCCAAATATTTCAAATTCAGTACAAGGAGTGACATTGCCCAAATATTTCAAATAAAATGAATGTAGATTCCGGTATACGGATACTTCAACATATGAGTTATTTCTAGCACCACTATTTTTCTCTCTCTTACTTTCATTGTATTTGTATATTATTTTATAAACTTTATAGGTTATGTTCATATTAGTATAGTTATTTGGTTTAGACCATTACCCTTAGCTTTGGAGTAGCATATATGCTCAAGTTTACATTTTTGGAGCCAAATCATCTAAATGTTGAATTGGGATCACTAAATCTTTCTAGGGTGGAGATAAAGGTAAGCAATATACTAGACAAAATCATAATGAAAAGTAAAATTCGTTTTACTTGGAGTGTAATTGTAAATTAATTTTACAATTGTCTTATTATATTTAAGAATGTGGCTAGATTGAACAATATTACGTAGTATATAATTTGTTCTTTTACAGTAGTTTTACATATTCATTGTTAAGTTCTACAAAAAGATTATTTTGACCGATGAATGTGAAATTGTTTCCACACTACCTATTAAGTTTTGCAAATGGTAAATTGGTAGCTAATTAATACGTATAGTTCATTTCTAAATAGGGGCGTAGGTAGCAGGGGTGGAGACAGGGCCTCTAGGGGGGCTCGTCTTTCTAGGAAAAAATTGTTATGTATATATAATATGTATAAATATTTATGAACAAAAAAAAAAGATATAGTGAAATTTTAATAGTTGGTCCCACCAACATAATTTTTTAAGCCCGAGTCCACTTATCCGTTATTTATGGCTCTGCCATTGGTAGCTGACGTGGGTAACTTCTGCCCAACTCATCTCAAATTCAATTTTGTTCAAATTATTAAGGTGAAATATTGTATACAGAATTTCTAAAAGTATTTTATGTACCGGCTTACTCAAATTTACGGTTCTGTCTCACCATCATTTCTAAAATAATGTTGTATGGAACTAATGGAAGGCAATGCCATTCCACACAACCACAGAGCCTTTGTTCGTGCCAAAAATGCAAGTTTAATTTGTGATTCCAAAATCCATTCCTACCGTTAAATGCTAACCACCAATAATAACAGTGTTTTAAGGAATAGATGAGAAAAAAACAATTAGTCAATGGTATGTTATGGCCAGAAAACAGACGAAGGTGGTGGTTTGCACTGCCACCGCCTTTGTCGTCGTCCTTTTCCTCCGCTCACAAAATCAAAAAACATTTGAGAATGATCTCAGTCCCCAAGGGCTGAGCCGCCGTCTAGGCACAACATATTCTCCTATTTTTGATCCCATTGTTGCCAAATCGGAGAAATCAGAAGATGATGGTCGTTACTACGATAATAAAGGGAGGTTGAATACTGCCCTGAGATTGATGGTGTTGTTTCCGATGGTGGATAGGTCACCCCGCGATGGATTCATGGATCGTAATGAGCTCCAGACCTGGAACACTCAACAGGCCATTGACAGGTTGAATTATAGAGCCCGACGAGAATTAAGGTTTCGTGACAAGGATGGAGATCGCTGCATTTCGTTCTTGGAGTATCTCCCTCATTTTACCCATGAAGAAATTGGTAAGCGTTTTTATTTTCATTTTTCAGAAATTGAAAAATTGGAGACTTTGATTTTTTACGGAAAGGCATTTGAATAGAGCGAAACGAGACTGGGCATGGAGAAGCTGGATGGTGGATGATACAGTTCAGGAATGCTGACGTCGATCGGAATGGAACTCTCAACCTTTATGAATTTAGAGAGTAAGAAGGCCCTCTTCTTTCTTTGTGAGGGTGACTTTAAGCTTTTTTATCAGCTCAAAATTGACTTCTTTACTCTATAAATTAATTGTTTTGCAGTTTTCTGGACCCAGAAGATAGCAAAAATCAAAATATCAGGAGATGGTTATTGACGGAGAAGATAAGGTCTGTTTTTTATTGTATTTTGTTCATCTTTAACTTTTCATTTTCCAAAGAGAAAACGCTAGGGAGCCATGATTTATACCAAAAGCAGGCAGGCAGATGTCAACAATGATCATAAGCTTTCTTTGCTTGAATTTGAGGGAGGAATTTACCCAACCTACAAGACTTACCTGGAATACGAAATGAACGGAAAAAGCGTGCCTTCACTTCTAGATACATTTTCAAAACTTGATATCAACAAGGACAAGTAAATCACTTATGTTATGTTCAATTTGATTCCATAGCCGAACGGTTGTATAGTATCATTGTGAACATTTGCTCGTGTAAATTTTCTATATGCAGGTTCTTGGAAGTGGAAGAGTTAAGGCCAATATTTGAGTATTTGTGCCCTGGAGAGCTCTCATATGCAAAATACTACACTACCTATCTAATTCGTGAGGTTAGCCTCTCACACTAAAGACTAAATCAACACTAGCCCATCCTCATCACATTTCTTGCACGATCACAATATTTTTATTACATTCAGGATAACTAATTGGCTAAGATATCATTACAGTATTAGAAATTTGCTAAATCAGTTTCATTTTTGGATGAAATGTAAATAGTACTATAAACATCCAAAGCTAACATTTACAATGTGGATAAAAATATCCATAAAAGTCGATAAGCCATTATCTAGTCTAAACTAACTAGACCCAAATACATAGCAACAATTTTCCCAAAATGGCACGGGAGAGACCCCAACTCACACATTAACATAAATATTCCTTCATAACTAATTAAACTAGGCAAAGTACAACATACCCAAAATACCAACATCTTCAAAAATTCCAATCGGCTCGACAAAACAACAGGCCCATGTGCAATCCACCATAAACAAGTATTTATCTAGTAGTTGCTCAAACCTTGAGTCTTGAAGGAAACTCATTACTACATACTTCCAGAATCTTGTCATACAAATATCCTTTCTTGGTCAAAGAACTTCATTAAGTTTTATGTTGAAATAAATATTAATTTATGATTAAAATAAAGATAATGGATAAAAGCGGCTTTTTATATGCAATGATCATATTAGGAACTTGTAATGACTATGATTATGTTTAAGTTTGATTTACACTGGAGTAACCATCATTGTATAGTAACTGTAGTCGCATTTTTTCGCATAGCTTTTATATGGGTAAGATTTTAGGAAAGCCCTCATTTTTATATTAGCCACCCGCCTTCTTGTATGAATGATAAATTTCTAAAATGTATGTGCACAACTTATAGGCTGATGATAACAAGGATGGAAAGCTGACATTAGAAGAGATTTTGCGTCATGAGATCTTGTTCTATGACACTATCTTCGCCAATGAGAAGGACGACGATTATCTTTACCATGACGAGCTGTGATCGATCTTTATTGAAGAATCTGGGATTACCTAATGCATATATAATGTGATCGAATAGATTATAACTACAAATCCAACTGGTCGAGATAGATTTTGCTCGTTCCAAAATTCAAATCCTCTTAGTACTCATGTACTCTCTATTAAGCTTTTGGTGCAGAGTGCTCTAGAATATAAGTTAGTTTAGAGTATGAAGAAAAGAGCATGCAATCGATCCTTGGGATTGATGTACCCAAACCAAACTTATGAATGGAAATTCAAAAATTGCATATGCTAAACAGATAATCGGTGGATTGAAAAAAGACAAAAATAGTCTTATTATAAGTTAAAAATTCATACAGAGTATAAGTTAAAAATCTACTTTATATTGATTACTCTAAGTTCTCTAATGTCGACGATGGTGCAAATAATGAGAAAATGGAATTAGCATGTATATAAGAAAATACATTCACATGGTTCTATACTTCTATACTTGTTGTATTTTATGAAAGTGAAATTTTTACATATTTTTTATTGGAGTGCAAAAAATATAGTAAGAATATTATTTTTGTGGATTGCATGAGTCTGTTGATCGGTAATATTTAACAGGTATGTGACAATAGGTTTGAGAACTATTTTACATAAATTCATTATATTCCAAAAACTCATATATAATACATAAAAAAAATCCTCCTCAATATCTTCCTCATTCATTCTTGCTTTAACTCCAACAGAATCAAATATTCAACATTCATTACACTTTATTTTCTAATTATTACTTCTCCTAGCCTTGAGCCTTATTCGATCAGTTCATCATTACAATGCATAAATAAATGTGTGCGTTTGTGTCGATCAATCAACAACACACGTCATTTTTTCTTAACAATATAACAATGCCCAAATTATATACATGCAAAGCTAGGCAAAAATAACAATAGTGTGATTGAGGAATACATTTAACACAATGGTGCAAGCCATAGGTGTTGAGAAACAATATGGTGATCAAACTGATTATTTATCAAAGAGAAAGTCGAAAGAAGCAGCTGATAGACATGCCAAGGCTGAAAGTGAACGCAGACAAAGAATCAATTCTCACCTTTCTGTCCTGCGCAAAATCTTTCCCCATCTCCCTAAAGTAAGTATATATGTGTGTGTATACTTTTCTCTTCTTTCTTTGTTGAAGTATTTTTAAGCATCTTAAATATATTATGAGAAAATTACTAGAAGTATGACCAAAAGAGACGGTGATTCCTAAAATATGATAAGATGAGCTGTAAAAGAACAACGCGACAAACAAAAATATAAAGCAAAAACGACAAACTCATTTACCTAGTTCATCAACGTTACACTGGCTACTATTTCTAGTCACAATAAGAAAACATATTTTATTAGGAAGAGATTCACTGAGAGTGAGTTTGAGTAAGAGGTTTTATACATAGCCTAAATCAGTAAATCTAATGAAAACACTAGGCTCAACGCGGTAAAAGTAGAAAATCAAAACCCAAATTGAGGTTGGCTTAATTAAATAGAAACTAATCACCTCATACCTCCTGACCTAGAAAAGGTTTGATCATATTCAAAACATATTGGCTTTGTTTGTTTTTCATTTTTTGGTTGAAATGTCATTTCAATCTGTTGCCGTTTGTAGCGTTTTCAGTTAAAAAAGTTCACCGTTTTGACCGAAACGCTAAGGCTGCTCGCAATCCTAACGTCGAGAAACCTAATTTGAGGTTTTCACCCTCAAATTTGCAGCAACCCATGTATTTATGAGTGCCAAATTGACTACATGCTAGCCATTGGGATGAATTTTGATGACCTTATTCACTCATAAGAAATGAAGCCGCATGCGGTCATACTTATTTCAGAAGTGTGGGTCCTACAATATTACAAATCCCAAATTTCTGTAATGTATCTTATCTTTTTTATTTTTGTTCTAATTTTTATAAAAAATATATCAAAATTCATATTTTTTATGATCTTTCATATGACATCAATATAACATATATAAGTTTCTATGAAAATATGAAATTTCATCTGCTGGAAATTTCTATGTTCAAAATTTTTGTTAAGTACATCAACGTGTTAAAATAAAAATCTCATGGTTAAAATACTTTTTTACATCTTTAAGTTATATTTTTTTTTTCAAAAATAGGTCTAAATAAACGATAATAAAATTAAACTCCAGAGTAATTTATTTTACATCAGAATGTTTGACTTTTGAATCCATAATTGTTCACAAAAAAGTATTTGGCAAAAAGTGATGTATAATACTGAAATGAAGGCTTTAAGTAAGAAAAACAGAAAAAACTTTGCTGGGTGAATATATTGACGATACTGGATTGCAGTAAAAATTAAATTGACAGAGCGAATACGTATAAACTGGTGGGAAGATTGATTTATTGACAGGGATGGGTTGCGGTTAGTCTAATACCCAAATATGCCCATTAACACAATGTCACACAATATGCTACTTATAATTATTGATGAGCTCTTTGCATGTGCATCTGTGTGCATGTAGAAGGATAAACCCAGAGTGCTAACAGAGGCCGTTCAACAACTTAGGAAGCTTAGGGCCACGGTGGCGGCTGAGCTTGCGCAAAAGCAAAACGGGGGAGTGACCCAGTTATTCTTGCCGGGAGAGAATGATGAGGTGGCGGTGGTTCCTTGCATAGAAGGAGGGGGAAGAGGAGAAGGAGGATCAGTGTTAGCTGTGAATGCAATAATCTGTTGCGAAGATAGACCGGGGCTGAACCGGGAACTGACTGAGGCGGTTCATTCGGTCAACGGGAGGGTGGTCAAGGCAGAGATGGCGACGGTCGGAGGGAGGACGAAGGTGGACGTGGTGGTCCGGTGGTACTGCGATCAAGGCGGTGGCGACCGGGAGAAAGATCTCACGTCGCTTAGGCGTGCCCTCAAGGCTGTGGTGGATAATCGGTCATTGGGTTTTTCCATGTTGGGGCGTGTGTTACAGACTGACTCGTGGGCCTCTTTAGAATTGGGTCCGTCTGCTAACAGATCTAGTCATTTATGTGCTCCAACCAGTATATACATTCCCGACAAAGTCGATGTCTTAAACTCATAGTGCTAGGGTATATTCCTAGCTTACCTTTTTTTGAAAGGAATTCCTTGCTCAATTTAGAGTTAACAAGATTTATTAGCTAGGCTAGAATGCTTTTTATTTACCCTATGTATAAAACGTCTAAAACTTTGAGACTATTCATCTCTTATAAATTGGGCCATTGATTAAGCAAACAATGACACTAATATTAGTTGGAAATACTTTTAGGACAATGACAGAATTCAAATCAATTGTTCTAATATTTTGAGGACCTTCATGAGGTTGAATAATTGAGTATAAGAAATAATACTTAGATCAATAGCAAAGATCACATGAGGAATGTAATGAGGTAGATGGTGTCTGGTTCTTCCTCAATTGAACCGTCATAAAGCCTTAATTTCTATTCTGATGGAGAAAAGAGAAAATGAAAGGTGGTTCAATATGTTGGAGACCATAACTTATATATTGTGTGTTAAGGTCTACCTAACACACTTCTTACAGTTGATATAGTGTGGTTGCCCAATTATAGATAACTCATTATATATAATGAGTTTGCATGATCACAAAAGAACGTATACGGAGTAATTAGTGGCCATGTAATTGTGATGGTTGAGTTATTAATCTAGACTTAATTACTTATGCATTAAGATATTGATATGAGCTTTTGTCATACATAGTGCTTCTTATATGGTATGCAACCCATACAAACTCAAGTAAATAATGAACGCAAGTAATTATGTATTCGCAACAAATAATACCATATACGAAGTATACATGATTCTATTCTATGACTTCTTGCATTTACGAATAATATAAAAATGAAGTTGTTTTATCAAGATTATACTTAGTATAATGGTTTGGCTTCCGTGTGTGTACATAGTGCAGGACAGATACTTGATAAACATGCATGCCTGGCCTCATTTCTTCTGTTATACTCCCTTACATAAAAAGTACTACGTACGTATTTTGTTTTTGAATGTAATACGTAGTTTAATTGTTTGATTAAACTCAAAAGTGATCGGATCGGATGATTTGCTTACAAAAGACTTCTATGTAAGTAAACTCTTTGGATTTGACACCTGACTCCCTTACATAAACATGAGTTAAAGGTGTTTTAAATTTAATATATACGGAGTAAATACTACGTACATATAATACTTCGATTTCAGTGGGTATATATGCATGAAAAAATACAAATGATGTAACTTATCAGCTAAAACGATAAAATAATACGGCTCGGAGTGTTGGAGTATTCTTTTTAAGTATGGTTCTTAAAGAAAATAATGACAACTGAAAATTAACTACAATACAGTACATATATACGATAGTATATACTATCGTATAACCGAGAAGCATTTTGATTGAGATAGACTTTACAAATTATGAGAATGTGTTGGGTAGCTCCATGTAGTAAGTGATTCTCGATTTTTACCAATATTGAATGCCAATTATATATGTGGTAGGTATTCTTTGTTCCAAAACCAAACATTTAGGAGGAAGCAAGCTAATTAATTCGATGACTTCCTAACAAGTACTCCGGCCAGGTATCCGATGTGAGCTCATCTAAAAAAATTAAAAAATACTCGATGTTACTATGTCCGTCGCTTAAACTATATCAAGTTTGACGGGCATGAGAATTAATAAAGTAAACAATGTTGGTTGAGGTTCGTGGAGAGAAGGGAGAATTAATTGGAATCACAAATTATTTACTTAAAAAAAAAGATGACAAAGTTACTTAGCTTGAACAACCAAAAAAGAAAAATTGACAAATTTTCTATGTTTTTTATTAGGAGAGGGGTGTTTCCATACAAAGTGGATTTGTTCAAGGATGTCGTTGAGGTGATGTTTAGCGGAGAAAGTAATTAATTATAGGTAGTTACGTTAATGTTTTATCATTGATCACAATTTGTTTAAACTAATGTTTCCAAACTAAGTTTCAAGCTAGATGATAAAGAAATGAAAGCCGATGTTCTATTTGTATCATGACAATGTCTAATATTAGGGTGAGCGTGAAATTAAATAAAAATAAAGACGTTTAGACTATTTGCAAAAAAAAAAAAAAAATCATGACCAATTGTATACTCGGGTATTGTTTATTCACCCATTATAGCTCACACTTAATTGGTTGAAAATTTCTATACATGACAATGATGGTAAACGTGCAAATGTAATTACTTAAAATGTTATACCGAATCAGTGGGTGTCACTGTGATCAGAGGTTACTATGCTAAAAATGCATA